AGTATGTTTTTCTTTTCTGACAACTTGCCATCATTTCCTATATCCACAATTTTGAACACCAAATTTTTTAAGGCCACCTCTAATTGGTGCAAAAATGTTCAAGTAGTCATTGTTTCTTAGATATTTATATAAGATTTTTTATTCTGCTTTATAAGGTAGCCGAAAGAATCGATCTTCAACTGTCATGCCGCATTTCAAGATTATTGAAGCGCATCGAACGGCTATGCGTGTGATAGGCCAGGGTTTAACACTAAGTGCTTAAAAAAAAGAAAATGTTGCATAGAAACAGCTAGAATTAATTAAAGGTTAACCAGAAAGGATTGCAAACCTAGTGTACAAAAAATAAAGGTAGGCTATTCACAAAAATCGTAAGCTACGTTTTCAATATGCTGCGCTAGCCTCTTATCAGTCAGCAAGATTGGGTCGAAGAATTTTGACTTTTGCAAGAACCTGAGCAGCCTATCCTGCTTTCTAGCGGTTTTAAGATTCTCCACTTACAAGACTTTTTGCCCCACAATCAAGTCCCTGGGAAGGCTTTAAGGTGAAATTGAAATAATACAGTTACTGGACATACTGTCATATTTTCTTTTCAACTTTCTTTACCAGCACAATTGCCTTCAGTCTAAAAAAGCTATAAATAATTAAAGAATGTTGTGAAAGAAACTGTATTAAGAGCTTGAACCTAAACCAGAAGGAGAATTCGTTGCAGAAACCGACAGAATTATTGATATAGGTGACTGATGCTTCCATTGCTAAATAGGATTTTTCACCGATTAATTAAGCAACTATCATCCTAGTGAGGCGTCTTCTCAAAACCGGGACGCAGGCATTTAGCACATGGAATGTTAGGTAAAGGAATTATCGTTTAGGAAACACTAAATGAAACCCCCTAATCAAACAAGCCTTTTCAGCGTGTGTACTTTGCGTCAGCAAGGTCCGATTATACTGTTAACGAACAACTTTTCGTCCTAGTTAAGAGGCTTTCTGCAAACGTGACAAGAACTTGGATCCTAGACTGGGCTGCCGGCAGCTGAGATTTTTTTCATAAAATAAACTCAGAATAAACTGATCTATTTAGAAGTTTCAAGCCTTAAGCGAAAGAACCAGAGTGAGATCCGAAGGTGGTGTTTTTGACGCTGGCAGTGACACAATTATAAGATTATATAAAAGCACTTTCACTAAAAGTTTAAGGATGAGTGTCAAAGAAACGTGTCATCCATCTTGCATGTGGACACAGAATCCGACTTACGAATAAACTGTACTGAAAGAAAAGAAGTTCATTTTCTTCTCCAACGGTAGTTCAACAAATGAAATTTTTCGTAAGTACTTGTTAGCCGTATTTGCAAGGTGATCTAGTAGCACCAAGAAGTGGGAACTGAGTCACTAAAATAAAAGGAAACCTGCCCTCACTATGGAATTTTAATAGGTACAGTACTGTTGGCTGTCCCGGCAAAACAGGAAAAACAGCGGGTATTTTTTGGCTAACGTCAAGAGCGAGATAATGTAAAAACCGTTTCGCCACCAGTTTAAAAGCGTTTTGCCCCGGCAAACCTAACGATAGGTCTTTCGAAGAGCACTTATTGGAAATGGCAATCTAGAATGGTCTCACTAATTGACTGTAAGTCACCACGCTAACTTTGGTGCCCTTTATCCTCCGCGTCTACAAACATAAAATCAATATTGAGAAAACTGAAGTTTGGTCTTAAGAAGAGGTTCGAGAGATTATGGATTACATTACCTTCCCGTGCCACTCAGTTTGTTTGGAGCAGTGTAATGGAGAAGAGTTATTGTAATTTTTAAATTGATTGTATTAAACAAAAA